CCACCCATTAGTTTCTTGAAACAGGAGAATTTCCTATAAGATGCTGTATGTCTGCTACTGTTTCTCAGAGGAGATTAGTGTCAGAGGGCGTTGGTCTGTTTTCTGAAACAGACTGACAAGAGTTCTCCCTGTATGTCATGAGAGCTTTTGTTAAAATTAGATTCTGCCCTGTCCATAACAATAAAGACCATACCCACATGCAGCTTACATAGTTCATATATTTCCTGGAGCAAAACCACAGCAACGTTCATCTGTCTGCTTTCTTTTTTTCTTAATTTTCACAATGGGTCCTGCTTCAAAAGCAGGTATCTGACCGTTGGGTCCCATGCCACAGAGAGCCTGCAGGTGGGTGACTGCTGGGTATACTGCCCTGTTCAGAGAGAAAATATTTGTCATTTAAGCAGTGTAGTGCCAGCAGGGTCAGCATCACTCTGTGCCAGTGGTCCAGCTCCAATTTTTGTAGTTAATTTTTTAAACAACAAATTATGCTGCTCTAATGATCTGTATGCATTCCTCTTTTAGACTGGATTTGTATGGTGAGGACAAGCTAGTGAAAGGAGGAGAAGGGGTTGAATTATCCCCTGTGACTTTGCTGAATTTGTCCTTGTGAATGGGAAGAGAGTGAAATATTTGTCTGCAGGGGGGAGCAGAGTGGTAACTGTCAGGAACAGCTGGAACGTATATACTGTGTCATGTCTTTTTGTGGTACTGGGCTTTTCTGCTTGCTGTGGGAATGCTGCAAAGGCATGTTAGCATTTTGCTGAGTAAGTGTGGTGTGAGCTCCATATGTAAACAGGCATCAGTCACTAGATGAGAGAAAAGGGCTGTTCTCACAGGGCTGCGACTGTCTCCTGCGTGCACCTCAACCTTCACAACCCCTGCAGGGTTTTGTAAATTAAATGTGGGCCTGGAGTCTGAGAAAAACTTATGCTTGTGGGAATGTCAGTCTAGAAGAATCCATTGTCTCTTCCTGCTTTGGTACCTGTAAATTTGTGAATGAAATAAATCCTCCTGATTCTTCCCATCCTCTCCACCCTGGTTATTCTTCTACCCACAGGGGAGCAAGGGCTTCTACTGCTCTTAATAATAACTCCACCAGTTGCTTTGCAGCATGGAAATGGGCAAGCTTAAACAGCACACTTACTTCTTTGTATCAGTCACCCAGAGGATCACAAAGGAACTTCCCATCAAATGAAACTAGACGATTTGTTCTCTTCTGTTTTACTAGTAGTCAAGTGTTGTTTTTCTCTGAAACATCAGTAGCCTAAGTCAGGAAAGCAAATTTGTGGACCAGTACTTTTGTGAAAAGCAGATAATTCCTCTTAGGTATCTGGCTGGTGTGAATTGTCCACACGTTCAGGGCCAAACTGATCATGCTTACTCTGATCTTTGCCAGTGGCACATATGAGATTAGTCTGGTGAGGACAAACACCCTGATATGATGCAAATAAAAACAGATTCTTGACATTTGATAAAGACACATAAGAACATGAGTGACCTGTGCAATTTTTGTAGAAGAGAGAATGATTTAGCATTCTGAGGTTCCAATTCTGTTTTACATTATATTTATTTTTACTTTCTCTGTAATAATGTTTAAAGTTCATAGCCATGAAGGCTCCTCAGCTTCTGACTTTAGGAAGTGTCACATGAAGGGAAAAAATCTCTCGTGAGACCTTGAAGATTTGCTAAGACTCATCTGGACTCATGTAGAAAGAAAGAGAATTTCAACCTAATTGCAAGTCATTTTGGTTTGGTTTTTTTCAGTGGTCAGTAATTTTTGAGAACATTCCTGTAGTGCTGCCTAGAGCATATTTGGAGAGGCAAGCCAGCCTCTGGAACTGTTACCAAGCAAAACCTGATCTCTTTCAAGGTAACTATGCAATATGTAGAAAATAGAAGCTGAAAAAGTGAGACAAATAAACAAACATATGTAATTCTCACTTTCAAACCTTTCAACGCTGCAATAATATTAATAAAGTAATTTTTGTTGTTTTTTTTTTTAATTGGGTTTTGCCAGTGATTTCAGCGTATCTATTCAAAACATACTTCAAGTCCGAAACTAAATGCTAATGGATAAATGCAAAAGCTGGAACTAAAATAGAACACCCCAAGGGTTTCGCAGAAATGTTCAGCCAAAATCAATTTTTCTTTGCTCTTCTTTCCCTCACTTTCCATTCTGTTTCCAACCTCAGCTTAATCTGTACGTATGCCTTCAACTGTAAGATTTTTAAAAACAAGACCCTGTTGTTCAGCATCATGATGAAGGATTTTATAATGTAAAAGTGGTTGAAAAAATTGTGCATAGAGCAGGACAAAAGTGAAATCCCATTTCTTCCATGAGGGCTAGATATCATTCATTTTTAAGCCTGCTATTGTCAAACACATGTGAGTGACACAATATCTGCACAGGGAAAATAATTAGGGGAAGAAAATAACTTTATTTACTCTTTTAATGTTTGGAGTACAAATGCCAAAAAGACATGGCAGCTTTCATAACAAACATGTTAACCCCGACATGTTCTGCTTAATTCTGACTTCTGGCTTCCTGTATTTCCTGTGAGGCTACTGGCACCATGAGTAAACTGGCACAGATTTTATTTATTCTGAATATGCAGAACTGCAACATGTAAGTAGTTAAGCAGCTGCTTCACAAGCCACTGGGCCGTGTGAGGACAGGAGGGCTCAGCCACACTTCTAGCAGGGAACACAACCGCAGTACCCCTCCCCATCACCATGGCTACCACTCAGCAGGCATTTTTTGGGCAGAAGTGCCAATTTAAGCAACTGCTGATTTCTTATTACTGCCCATGCATCACCGCCTCCATTGGTCAGGTACAAGTGTGTAGCAGGTCACAGCATTTATCAGATCAGGAAACTAGTCCTTATCCAACTGGAAAATAAGCCCTTTTTTTTTTTTCTTGTTCTTTTCCAAACTGTTTTCTAATTCAATTCATCCAGTAGGCACACAAATATACTGTGCATGTGTAATGGAGGAGGCAGCAGAAGGGCAGGGACAAGTGGCTTAAGACATAGGGACTAGCGGTGATTTAAGTAGTGTTCTCACTGGGCACAAGCAGAGATGGAGCAGGAGATCCCTTTGAGGCTGTGGTTCAGTATTCAGTGTTTAGATCTGTTGGCAGTCCAGGTTCCTCGCTGCCCTGTCCTGCCCCCTCCCCATCTCCTCTGCAGCTTTGTTGAAAGTGCTTATGCACAATGAACCTTACAGGGGAACCCATCTGCCTGAGGCATGATCCAGTAAAAGATGGGTATTGTTATGACACCGTGAGCATAACACACCAAGTAGGTCACAGTTAATTTTGTTTTGGCAAACTCATTTTTTTAAGCCTCCAGGTTTAAAGCTATTGTATGTCAGAATGACACAGCCAAGTCACATGTAGAAGGAAAGTGTGACTTTCCTTCCCTAAATAAGTTCCATGGCTGTATGCATCTCTCCAAGGAGAAGTGTTACAGAGTCTTGTTCACAAACCTGCTATTATACTTGTGAAGTTGTTAAAACATCACTGTGGATAAAGGATATATGGAGCTGAGTGAAGGTGGTAGCAGAATGTCAGGTTGGAAATTGAATAATATTGCAGGGATGCATAAAAATCATTAGTCTCAAAGAAAAACCCACCTAGAGAAGTCAGTGCACATTTGGAATAAATTGTTTATTCATTATGTTTCTCATTTATGGTAAGATTCTTTTAAGGCCAGTGATAATGTAAAACACTAGCAACAGGGGTGCTATGAGTTTATACAGATTTATTTATACAGATATGCAAACATACACCACATATATTAATGTTATATGCCATTTATAGTACATATTATATTAAATACAATAAATACATACTGCCACAACATTTCTGCTTAAAATCTTATTAAAAACAAGCATGGTTTTCAGTTTTTCAGGTTCCAGCAGTCACACTGCAAGCCCTTGTCAGCCTGCCCTGCCAAGGAGCTCTAGCAGAGCTGTGAAAACTCTGAAAACATTAAACTCTAGCCCAGCCCTGATGCCCCTCACCACACCTCGCAGAGTCAGGCTCCATTGTGTCCTGTGCCCAGGCAGAGGTGTGTTTGACTGCGCAGAAGTTACAGACTCGTACAACCCAGGAAGAATCGCTGTGTCCACTTTAAGTCAGAGTTATAAGCAACTTGTGAAAAATGAACACAAGCTGCCCTGTCCTTGAGAAGCCAGGAGGCTTTCCCACCCTGGAGGGAGGCACTAACTCCAAGGACATCAGTGATCAGGACTCTGCGGTCATGCTTTTCAGCTGTGACAGTGCAATGGCAATCTCTCTCCCCAGAGTCACTTCTCAAAAAGCCTGTTTCTAAAAAAATCTGCAATGATGTGACCAGAAAAATCAAATGTATCAGTTTATGCAGAGAGGGGACCAAATGCCGCTGAAAAGCCCCTAAATTCACGAACTGAGGAAGTTTGGGAGAAGTGGTGGCTGCAGTGAGGTCAGCGCACCGAGCACGGAGCACCATGTGCACTGCCCGCGCCCCAGCGCCGGGCCAAAGCCCTTCCCCTGCCGGGGCAGCCCCGCCACTGCGGCCACCGCACCACGGGCACCGCTCCCCCTGCCCCCCCGCGCGGGGGCTGTCAGCATCCCCGGGGATGTCTGCTCCCGGCGCCATGCGGGGCCGGGCACCCTGGCACAAGGAGCCGGGACATGCGGGGCCGGACTCCCCGGGGCGATGCGGGGATCGGGGGTCCCGGCCGCCCGTCACGTGCTCGGTGTGTTGCATTGTGTTTGCGGCGGAGGGAGGGCTGGCCGTGTCAGTGATCAATGTCATGACTTCCTCCTCGGGCTGGAGCAGTATCAGAGCACAGCTGAAGGAAGCTGATTACTGCTGGTTTCAAATTGGCTGGGAACAATACTCGCGCACACACACACACACACACACACACGCACACACGCACACACGCACACACACACACACACACGCAGCCCGCACCCTGGCTCCCGCGTCGCCGCTCCGCGCCGGGGGGGAAGATGAGCTCAGGGGACGTCGTTTGCACTGGATGGCTCATTAAATCACCCCCCGAGAAGAAACTCAAGAGATACGTAAGTGCAGAGGTTCTGCTGATATTTTTTTTCCTCGCTAAACGGATCTCGGCATGTGCTCGGTGTCTTACTCTTCCTTTCAAATGTCTCGCCCGTTTCGGCTTCGCCTTGGACCAAAACAAAAAGATTTGCAAGTCCGTGCGCTTATGGAGTGTTTTAGTTTGCGCCGATATTCCTGTGCCCTTTGGTATTAACCTTTCCCAGCTCGTAAGACTATATTGTTCAGTTGTTATGCAACGTACCTTAGGTTAAAAAACCGCATTTCGGTTTCAGTTAATGTTGCCGTAACTACCAGAATTGTTGTAATAGAATTTCAGATGTCACTTTACCAGGGAAGAGCAAGAACCTCCTGAAGAAAACTAATACTTTACATTCTCAGGCTCTCCTTTGTTAAGATGCTCTGTAATTTCCATGGCACTCGCTGAAGGCAACATCAGCAGTAGTTTTATTTACCAATTTAATATGCCAGATGCAGTTGCTAGCAGAAAACTTATCTTTTTGTCTGTGATGAAGAGGTGCTGGAAGGTGTCATGCTGTGAAGTTCTTGGTAGCTGGAAGGTGAAGGGGACTGGTGAGAAGCAGCAAGAGCTGCATGCGTGGAGAGCTGCAACTGCATGATGTGTAAAGGGGGCCCTTGTTTCATTCTGTATCTGCCTGCTTGTTCCTGGAAAAAAAAAAAAAAAAAAAAAAAAAAAAGAAAGGGAAAAAAAAAAAAAAAAGGTGTGGGGTGAACAAAGGGGGAAATACATGAAAATATAAGGCACTAATGGAAGGCTCCTTACATGTCTAAATTGACAGATTTTTGTTCTTGTTTGACTAAATCAGTATGTTATGAACACAAGCAGCCTTCTGGGAACTCCACAGGTCCTCCCAGAATGAAGAAGAAGAAGGAAAGGGAAAAAAAAAAAAAAAAGGGTGTGTGTTGCAAACATAGGAAACTGTCTCATTGCAGGGCTGCGAGGAATGCATTCCGGGTAGAAATAAATGACCCTTAAAAATCGCTTGGGACAGCATGAAAAATGTAAGATCATCGTGGGCCATTTTGCATACTCATTTGTGATGGCTTTTCACCAGGCGTGTTGATGCTGTTGTTACACTTTTGGAATCGCTAATACTTGTTTGAGTCTTGCACTTCTAACCTGGCTTAGCCCAGCTCTGCCCTGTACCAGCAGGATGCCACCATGTGTGTCTGTCGCGCTCCAGCCATATACATCTCTTACATCATTTGTCGTGTTCACTTCTGTTTATCAGCATTTCTTCTGGACTGCTGATGTTTACTTTTCCTAGAAATATAAGGAATAACTGTCTCGTGAAGAATGTGGTAGATATATATAATTTGGTAGTGTATTTTTTCTTTGCACTAAAAATTAGAAGGATAATTTACTGATGTTAGAATTTATTTTTAACTTATTCTAAGTCAGTTTCTTGTTCAGTTAGCATTTTCCAAATCTAAAATAACCACTATTATGTGTCTCAAGGGAGCTGCAAATAAAATATGGATGTTTATTTTTTGTTGTATTTTGTAACGAGTGTAGTAATAGCAGTGTATAGCAGGCACTGGACAATGTAAGAGCCACTGATTCACCCAGCTGGTATCATTAGTAACTCTGTCAGTGCAGCTATTTTTGATGACTCAATATTCATGAAAGGGCAAAGTAGAGAAAACAGAATGTGATAAAGCTGGGATTTGAAAGCCCCCATTATACGTCAAGATAATAGTCACAACAGGGTCTCTGATCAGCTCACAAGACTAGTTGCACTCTGCTCTGCTTAGATTTTGCACTACAAAACCTAGGGAAATTGGGTCTATGTTGTTCTTCAAACATCAACCACTAGATTAGCCAGATCTCTACAGATTAGGCTTCATTTTCGGGTTAGGAGGATAAACTACTCCTTTGTCTATGATAAAGCAGAAAGAAATCTCTTGCAAGTACAGCAAAGATTAATGTCCTTTCTCATATGACTAGCTACACGGTGGATGCTACAAACCGAGTGGAAATTGTCTCGTACCCACTGTAAACTACTTTTTTCCACTTTTCATATTGTTTCACCAGCGTGGCAGTTTGTGCATCTTGCACTGGGGTGGTAGATAGCGCAGGCTGGACCACAGTGACTGCTTAAAAACAACACAAGCTTTAAAACAATGGCTGTTTAAACTGACTTCAGTAGGTGTCAAGTGTCAACCCTTACAGCAGAATGGTGTTGGCTCTGGTTCCGAACTGACAACATACATAAATCCCCAAGCTTTACACCACCCTTTGTGTTCAGTTGGCAAAATCCATGGTCTGGGCTGAAGCTTTCAGGGAGCTTCAAATGCGGTCTTGGTCTGCTGCCCACTGGCACCTCTCTTAGACTGGAGCAACTCATTTGCTCCCACGTGGTTGTCTCCTAGCTTATATTTTCCTGAGTCCAGCATCTGGCCTTTGTAAGGTCCAGCCTGAGGGTCTCTTGTTTTACACGCAGTTAAATTTTTAATCCTGTCTTTTACAGTCACTAAGAAAGTCCAAGTGATTTCAGTGGAATCCATAGTTAAGAGACCAAAGTGATGGATTCAGGTTGTGAGACCGGGAACTGCAGATAGTCCCACTGAAGGCACAGGGAGTATTTACAGTGTTTATAAAACTAAACAAATGCATTTTTGCTAGGTTGGATCCTGAAATCCAAAGTATGCCTTCATTTATGCCTGTTATCTGATGATAGCAATTAGCTTTTCTACCCATAAACAAGTCAGAATTTGGCTCTAGATAAGCAGAACGTTATTTACAAAACTCTGAAAAGCGAAAAGCAGGTGTTAAGAGTCTGTATTTTTCCTGTAATGTCTTACAAAGCTGATGCTCTTAGTAGCACTATTCTTAGAAGTGTCTTATCATTCCCTAACAAAGGCTGCTCTCTTACATGTGCAGGAAACGAACATGAGATTAATTACCCAAGTGTAACTTTCTGCAAAAACAGAGAGCTTAATGCTAAATGCAGAAAATTCATTTAGGAAACACAGGGAGCTTCACTTCAGCAGGCAAATACTCTAATAGTCAGTTAATAGCATGTACAAAGCTTTTCCCTCTATCTGATAATTGAACCATGAATCCACCACGTCAGCCTATCTGAAGAGGCAATTGAGCAGGGAGTCTCCTGGGAGAGCATTTGGTGTGTGTTGCAGTTCTTTGTCCCCTAAGTGTGACCTGAAAGCTGTGCTGCTTTCATTTCCCCACTTGGTTCCAGCTTTTCTCACTGGTGGGGGTTGTGAGGGCCCAAGGGGTGCCGGGGAACCCCTAAAGATCTGGGGGAGCTGGGTATTGGGGAGGGGGTGGGGCAAGAGAAGAAGAAGCTGCTCCCAAAAACTAGGAAGTGGTGGCGATGAAGGTGAAGTCCATCATACTCTAGTCTAGATCAAATATGTTGAGCTCCAGGCACAGCTTGATGCCCAGCTCCACTGGAGGGAAACCTGACCCCACTGGGGATTTTTTTAATTTATACTAGTGGATCATGAGTACCAGCCTCTGTAGGAAATCAGATGTCATGGGAGAATCTGCTTCAGGTTTGATGGGTTTTGCAGTGTCCTATATTAGAGCGGTATACATTCAACCAGGGATTTAGAATAGGAATTCAGAGCTGCAAAGGAACAAAGTGTTTATGTTTGTTAAAAATAAATAAATAAATAAATAAATTCTGAAGGCTCAGGATGTTGTTGTTCACCTGTCCCCATTCTGTAATGCCAGCCTTGAACAGCCAGCTTTTTGATACTTCTCATATGGAAATATATCTGCTCACTGAGTGATAATACTTGATTTTCTATTGATTGGGGAAGGGGCAGAAGGGTTTCATGGCCTAGGAGACAAATGAATTAACTGCAGCCAGTGCAAAAAGTCACCATGAGGGGAACAAAGACATAGAAGAAGGCACAGAGGATGTCTAATGAAATAAGAGACTGATGCCATTGAGAAGACACTTTTGTTCCTATGCTGATAAGGAGAAGGAAACAGGCTTTTGAACAGGCAGCTAATTTCAACCTGTCTTCAAATCACTCTCCTGTAGTTTGTCACCCTGTGAGGAGCAGCAGTGATGTCAGCCAGCCTGCCCATCAGCTCAGTCAATGCCACGCCAGTATTTACTTACTGTTAGTGTTGAGTTACGTGGTTTGCAATAGTAAGGGGCTTTATACAGATGCTTGCTTGTTGTGAGTCAGTGCAGCTACACTTAAGTCAATTCTGCACAGCTGTACCACAACTGAAGAGCTATTTTTAATCTTCAGTAATATACAAATTGGTGAGGGAAGACCACTTGCTTAAAAAAAGGCGAGTTTCCCACTTTACTTGAGTGACCACTTTCTTCAAACACTGAAAATCAAGATTCCTTGTCAGCATTTCTAGAACAAGAGTCCAAAAATGGACCCCATGTTTGAAAATTTAGCCTTGCACTTCTTACCACACATTGTATTGGAATGTCTGATCTGGAATGATAAAAACAGAGGTGTAAATTAAGATACCAGATGCAAAAAGCTAGTAAAGCAGTGTCCAATCCTGCTGTCTCTGTGTGAGGGGCAGTAAGTTCCATCGGAAGGGCACAACAGCAAGTAGCTACTGATGGACGTCTAACTGTTGGGGCGTCTGCCAGAACTCGACCACAGCACCCCACTGCCAGGGTTTTACAAGATAAGAGAATGTAAACTACTTCTCCATTTTTAGCTGAAGTTCTGGTATATATCAGGAGAACAAACGGGAAGTTACTGGCCACTAAGAAGAAAAAGTAAAGTAGAATTATGGAAGAATTTTCTCAAGTAATAGGAACAAGAGTCCCACAGCACTGCTAAGGGTGGGTAGGATGCAGAGTGGCTGCTTTCTGATCTAGCATTGGGCTGGTGTCAGCAGAGGACACTGCCACCCTCACCTCAAAGAAATTGCCAGGTGCTGTGTGAAGTCAAGGATTTGGTGGTTTGGGATTTGGGGGAAGTTTCTGAAAAATGACTATCAAAAAGAAATCTGAACTTAATTTTTGTCCATAAG